CTCAGGGTTTAGGGTTTATATAGAGTATTGGGATAAGTAGATATAAGAATAGCCAGCTTACGATGATCTTACTATACCCCTACATACCTACTAAGTCCCCTGATCCATGTAGCACCTCCCACAGAACCAAATCCATACAGCAGCCCGTACAGTAGCGGAGCCTATCACACCCTACATACTCGGTTTCCTGAACGTCTAAGGACCCATCCCAGATGCATTCCCAGTAGCGAGCGGCCCAGTCCACGAGCCAGACCTACAGTAAGTATAAACGGACAGAGTCTGAGGTTTAAGTTTAGACGGCCTATGGTTTAGGCTATAAGCTCTCACAACTCGGACAATCCGGGCGAGCTCTATCAAGTTCAGGTCGGCGTGAAACGAGCGAAGATCACATGTCCCGGACTATGCAAGGACCCCGCGTGAAGGTAATAAGCTAAGAGCAAAGGGTCTAAGTTTAAGGTTAAGGGTCTTGTAGTTCTAGGTATTAACTCACTGCTTGGGGTCTACGCCTGCATAGTGTTTACAGTATTGGGGCTTACAGCAAAAGGCTTCGGATTGACGGACCTAATGTATTCTGACTTCCTTGTCAGGGCCTCGGTCTTTCGGTAGATCTATCTACCTACACTTATTGTAGGCGCCAGGTTCACCTTTGCCTACGTCAATCAGAGAACACGCACACGGAGGCACCATACTTACATGCACACATACATTACATTACATTACATTACCTTACCTTACATTACATTACATTACATTACATTACATTACATACGCACATACACACAGACATTACATGACATTACACTACACTACACTACATTACATTACGTTACATTGCACTACACTAAATTACAATACATTACATTGCATTGCATCACCTGACATTACATACATTATACTCTACATTACATGACATGACATGACATGACATGGCATGGCATGACATGACATTACATGGCATGGAATGGCATGACATGACATTACATTGCTTTGCATAACTTAACATAACCTAGCTAACCTAGCTAACCTACCTACCTACCTACCTACCTACCTACCTACCTACCTACCTACCTACCTACCCACATGCATACAGATAAAGATGCAGATAAACAAAAACATACACACACATATATATATATGTATATATATATATAGATACAACTAAAGTTTCTAAAGACGGAATATGTAGATATAGACATAGGTAAGGGTATAGATATAGATATTGATATCGATATAGGTACAGACATAGATGTAGACATAGATACAGATACAAATATAGATGTGCTTCGCGTACGCGTGTGTCTGTGTGTGTGTGCGTGTTGTATGTTACATGTATACAGGTATCGATGGGTCTCTCCCTCTCTCTCTATGTATGTATGCACACATATCGCTCCATGTATATATATATATGTATACGTATATGTATATGTATATGTATATGTATACATATGTGTTTTGTTTCTCTTTCGTTTCATACGCATATTTCAATCTGCTTATAATATCAGGTAAATGTGCGTATTTATGTATACAAGCATGGTGGGCTGCTAATGTATGCAGAAAAGAAATATTCTAAGCTTGAAAGGAAATGCGACTGACCTCTGCGTCGGCATACAGGGCATGAGGGCTGCTGCTTGTAAGGTTGCCCTGCTTTCGTTATGACGCATAAAGCTGCTTAGTCAGCTAAGGCGTTGGCTTCGAGAATGTATGTATTGTCTATACCCCAAATTCAAGGCCTGTCATGGAGCCACAAAGGCTTCTTCCACTGCTTTTCCATGTTTGAAGTGTTCAGGGTTTACGGAGTGTTTCTTGCTTAAAGATCGTCCGGCACTTTACGAAGACATGTCCAAATGCACTTGGAGTCGCCAGCCTGTGCATCGGCGAAGCCATGCCAAGGCACTCACTGGGGCTGGCCTGCACTATGTGTTGGATGCCATCATGACGACCTGGAACCGTGCTAGCTTCAAACTTCATCAAGCATGCAAACTACCAGCACAACCGGCAACAGCAACGAAGACGACTAATACCAACAAAATCTTGATACTAACACTAGTACCGGTGCCACTCTCACTAATACCCTACCAATACTCATGAATACGACAACGGAAGCTCACAAAAATACTCATCAAAATACTCGTTCGAACACTACTGCAAACGCATACTGGCAAAATACGACGACGGCAGGTACATTCATACATTATGCGTCACATATGTACAAAGTGTATGAATGTAGGATTGTACGTATGAACGACTGAATACATGAACGAATGCATGCATGGATGGACGGATGGATGGATGAATGGATAGTCTATGTATGTATGTATGTATGTATGTATGTAGGTAGGTAGGTAGGTAGGTAGGTAGGTATATGTGTTTTCTTGACGGTTTGCTTTTTTTTTGTTTGCTTGCTCTTTGGATGGCTGGCTTGTCTGAAAAGCCTATGTATGTATGCATGGATGTATGCATGTGCATGTGAGTATGCATCTATTATACATGTATGCATCTGTCTGCTCGCGGTCGTCCTGAAATCTGTTCCCCCCCGCCGCCACCCCCGCCGCCCCCGGCCACCCCCGCTCCCAAGCCCCACACCGAATTCCCAAACCGAGGCCGTGAACCGGGAATTCCTGAAGCTCTGTTCGTCCTAAGCCACCGCACCCAAAGGCCCAAGGCAGCGAGAAGTTGCAAGGCGGTAGCTGCAGGATTCGGCCGGCGGGCGAGAGCAGCCTGCAGCTCTCGTTCTCGGATGTAGGCTTTAGGCTTCAGGGGTTTAGGAGTTCAGGGCTCCGGGTTTCGACTCGCACTCTCGCACTAGGCAGGCACGATTTGGGATACAGGGTCAAGTATGGGAGCCTCAGGAATTAAGTGATCCTATTCAAAGGCTTTCTAAGGAGGATCCGATTATTTGGGGTTCTACATTGCAACATAGAAGTCAGCATACTCGGATCCTCACTATAAGGAGCCCTGAATATGGTAGCCGCCTGTTTCCTGACACGCGCATGTGCAGGGTTCAGGACTCAGGACGTGTACTGTAGGGCTCTAAGGGCCGAAGGTTCAGGTTTCGGTTGAGCTTCCCTTGCAGTACCTGAAGTCCCGAAGAGGGTGGGTGGGAGGGTGGGTGGGCGAGTGGGCCTTTCAAGTTACTAGTTGGGGCTTTTGTTTGCTCGCAGGGTGGCTGTTTGTAGATTTTAGGGGTGCTGGGGTTTTACGAACAAGGATGCATGCGCTTAGCAAGTACTCGCCCAAAACCCAAACAATCACACCGTCCCGGCCGAACCTTTAGAATCTACAACATTAATACATTAATACTATGTCGAATGATAGGCGAGCAATTCCGGCACCGATGTCCTGCGGAATCCTATTGCCGCGCCGATTTCGGCGCCGAGCTTTGTAAGTCAAGGTAGAACTTGTTGAAAACTATGCAAACCTATTCAAATAATGCGCTACAATCTGCTACGCACATATGCGTGCAAAGACACAGGTTCTTTGCTCGAGGTTCGTGTTTGGACACTCAAGCAACAGCAGTTCAAAGCAAACATCAGCTGAAGGGACTGAGTTGCAAGTCTCACGTCCCCAGTTACGACGCCACCCAGACCGGAAAGCCCCGCTAAGTCCAAACAAACCTTCCTAAGCTTTCCTGTGAGCCTCAAGAGCTCGGCGGCGCTGTTCCAAAAACCGCGCGTCGATTTGACCTTTCGTCCGATGGCTTTGAGAGAGTCTCGGGTCGGAAGGTTCGAGAACGGACATCGCACTTCTCGTGCCCTTGCTCACCCTTTCCTCCCGCCATTCCTTGACAGCCGCTGCGTCGCGCATCAATCTCGCAAGCCTCAATCCATAACGCCATGGAGCACCACTCCACAATCCCTGAAGCCCTTTGATTCCAACACTGTGCAATGGCACCAATCTGAAAATAAACCAAGAAGAGCACACTGACAATGCTCTGCGAAGTGTGTATTGTGGGACACACACACACGCACACGCATACATTCCATTCGATTCCCATGGATAGATAGATCGATGAATAGATGTATAGATACAGACATACGCAAATACATACATACATGCATGCATACATACATACATGCAGACATATTCACATGCATGCATGCACGCATACATACATACATACGCAAACAATCGCAAACAGATTGATCAATGGATGGATGGATGGATGGATGTATGGATGGACGGATGGAGGGAGGGACGGAGGGAGGTAGGGAGGGAGGGACGGATGCAAGTATGTATGCAGGTATGTACTATTCTATCAGATACTTATCCATGTATCTATGTACTCGTGTGACTACAAAAGACACATACAAATAAGACCGGCAAAGACCCCAGATAGCTGGGAAAGCGTTAGAAGGTTCATGGTTTCGACCATAAATGGTTGTCAGATTGGTTACAACCAGGAACTTGAGCATTCTTGCCCAAGAAATTTAACTGAGTTTTCCTGTGCGATTTTGTTGGGCCCAGGAGCATTCCTGCACCTCGACTATGCATTTGTTGCTGATGTCGGCGGCTAGCTTTCAAGCCCGAACTGAGCCTCCCAAAGCT